TCCTGCTGCAGCATTTACATACTGATTAGTGAGTTATGTTTATATTCCCTACGAGAAGTTTTTTTCCTTTCCCCATCCCTGCCAGAATTATAGAAGAAATAACTAGCACACTGGGTCCTGTGCAGTATGTACACTGAATGCTTTGGGATCCTGCAAGAGTTTGTATTGTTTTACCCTAACTTTAATGCCTGTATTTGTACATTCTTGTCAAGAGCGTAAGTACGTAATGAAATATGCACATGACAAGGTCTAATGCCTCACACTATTTCTCTAAATAAAAGTCTTCATCCTATTTTTGGTCATATTAAACCCTCCCAAACTTCTGTTTTTGCAGATAAACTCCTGTTGACCTCATTAGAATTTTTTTCTTTTTGGTATTCACCATAACTTGAAAATGCCGAAAGATGGAAACTCTAAGCAGCATGTATCTGTTTTTCCTCCATTTCCAAACAGACAAATAGACAAATTATACAATAAAAAAACAACTGCTGGTCATGTTTAGTTGACATGCCTATGTAAAATTCCTTTGTGAAATAAGGCTTTGGACATCCTCATTTTCTCCTTGTCCATCCAGATGAGTGAAAATATTTGGTACTACCCAACAAAGTCATCAGGTTTAGCTGATACTAAAACGTGAACGTTCCCCATATTTGGCTGGAAATGGTAGCAGTATTAATCATTACAGTTCTGCGGCACAATGTGGAAGTCTCAGGTCGTTTAAGTAGCTCATACTCCGTGTTCTTGGCGACCATTACAGGCTGGTTTTTAGGGTCAGACTAAATCTCTCTATGCCTAACATTTCAGGCAGAAGTTTCTTTCACACGCTCTTTTCTTCAAGAGAGTGAAACCTCATAAAAGACATATTCTACCCAGAGATTTTCAGTATCACAGAGGAGAGAGAATACAAGGCAACTCTACTACAACTTTTGTGAAGAACACCCATTTTAGCTTTCAACAAAAATACACGTATATTTTTAATAAATATATTTTACTAATAAGTACTGCAAGTACTGTAGGGGGAAATGCTGTTTTCTGATATGTGTAGTTATAGCTAGAACGTATGGAACAATTATTTTTTGGAGGTTTTTCCTGCTAGGATGAATGGAAATGCGTCGCAATTATTTCTTGGAACTTGAGATGAGATGTCAAGATTTAGGTCTTCTCCAACCTTGCCAGATTAGACATATATTAAGATGTATTATTGTATTTCAATATTTTAGTTTTACTTAGCTGTAAAAAAGACTATATTGTACTCAGAATAGAAGAGACATGACAGCTGGAACTGAATATTAGATCCAATTGAGCCCACTCTTACACACACAACAAGATTATGCCCTAGGGATTTTTTACCAAGACTTCATCCTTCATAGGTTTTGGTATGTTGGATCTTGGGTTTTTACTCCTCTTACAGACTTACACTCTTTGCTCTCACTAGCAGTGTTTTTTTTTCCAAATTTAATAAAAATTTGCTTAATTTCACCTCAATATTCCTAATGATATCATTCTAGATGTTACTAATCATACTGCTAAATATCACATTATATATATACACGCATGTGTGTAACTTGTCAGCATTATATGAAAGTGAACTTCAGAAACTTACTGGCAGAAGCATCCCAAAACTTTACTGATCCATCTGCATGGCTTAAAAAAAAAAAAAAAATTAAGTGTGTTAAACCAAGATGCAATTCTAAAACACCTTCCACTTTCAGGGAGTGATAAATATAAGCAGAAAAACTGTACTTTGCTTGTGTGGTAATGCTTTGTACCTTACTGAAAATATATGATGATACATATACTAATTACAAGGAAATATTTTATTATTAGTTTGATTAGGTTAATAAAATACTTTTTCATGCATTTCCTATGGAGAACTAAGTCCCCAGTGAATTTTAAAATCACAACAGCAAGAAATTAATTCCCATTCTAATGACAAGTTTAAGTTACAGCACTTTTGGCTTTGCAGTAGGCTAACATCAGCCTATGCACTCTAAAGATGCCATGTATAATGAACTTTGAAAAGACAGAGGGTAACTTCATTTTACTTAATACATTACGGCTGTGTTCTTTTTGCTAACATAAAATCATCCCTGAAGTGAAGCTGGAGAAAGGAAACATCGCTGTTTAAAATTAGAATAATCCCTTCATTGGTACTATTGCACACATCATCATCTTATTTTTAAAAACAGGTGTTAAATATCATTGATAACAATAATTTAACAAATATATTGCTATCATCAGCATGGCTGAGACCAGAGGGAAACACAGAGTGCATCGTCGCTGAATAGTTTTGGTTTTACAGCATGGTCCCTTGAAAATCCATCAGGCATTGGCATTGCTCATGGGGCTTCTACTGAAATCTGAGCCTTTCTATGCCTTTTTGCTACGGGGCTCTCTCTCCTCTCACAAGGTGAAATTCATCCCCATGCACCACACCCCCACTAATGCTGGGGTATTAAAGTGAATTCCCAAACTCCCCAGATACAAACTCCCCAGAAAAGCCAAAGGACAACAGCTATAGAAGAACAGCTGTTTCCCTTTTTAATGCTGTTCTCCGTGCCCTTCAAGGCCAAAACGTGCTCTTGCAATGGATTCTCCTTTCCAAAGATCCCATCTTCACAAGGATATAGACTTGCTGTCTAACACTGGGGCCTCAGATGGTGATTCTTAACAGTAGTTCATCCCCGAGAACAAAGCTTTATTTTCTACAGCAAATGGGAATTGCTGTGGTGACTCTGCTCGAGGAAAAAAACTACGTACCTCAAATGAGGAGGCCAGGATATGCACACTCTGTGAGGGGTCAACTCTTACCCATAGCTAACCCTCAATCCAAGGCTGTGGACACTAGTGGCCTGTAGACACTAACATTTGAAAAGTACCAGTCCTCAGTTTCATTCTCACCCTGTAATAATGATTTCAGGATATGTCTGAGCTCCAAGGTTCCATGCTCCACCACTGATAGGCCACTCCTAAACAAACAACAAGAGTACGGAGATCACAACTTATTCTGATGAATCTTGCTTGGTTAATTTTTAAATGCAAGAGTAGACAACAACTTCTTCCAAAAAGCAATACAGCTCATAAAAGGAACAAAAATGTGTAGCATTCAAAGCTTTTAAAGCTTATTAATGTTTTTATATTATCAGTTATGGGTTTTGAAACTTAATAACATTTTTATCTTACCAATTAAAGTTCTATGTTTTAAAAATATTTCTCAACAGCTAACACTCAACAGTCAAAAATAGGAAGTAGAGGAAGGAGTAACAAACTCTTTTCAGATTGCTTGACTCTTGGAGTTTTTGTAGGACACTGAATAGACTGAGAATCTATTTTGAGGATGAAAACTACTGAAGAAGCTGGCCCAGAAAAAAATATCTGAGCATGATGCCATGAAATATGAGATAAGGGAATGCAACTTTTACAGAACATATTAAATCATCATCTCTTCTCTGCTGTTTGTTTACTAGTGGCAAGATTCCCATCCTCTTCCTTGGTCTCGGCTGGTAAAGTGAAACGCTGGTCTTGCCTAAAGCTTGACACGTATGGATACAGGATACAGCACATGGAGGATGACATTTGTGCAGAGTGGGTGAGGATGTATGCAGAGTATGACACTGGGTGGAAAAAAGCTGGAAGCGCAAACTGGTTATGTGGATACATGGAGTGAATGCTGTGGGTACAGAAATGGGTGGGTGGCACATGAGTGGCTACCTACATTCAGAGTGTATATTTGTATGTGCACAAGTAAAGTAAGTGAATAAGAGAGTGTGCAATGAATACAGGTAGGAGGTGAAAAGTTTGGGAAACTATGTATATGAGGTAGGGATAGATAAGTAGACAAATTCAAATAAAAGAAAAAAAGAATTTCTGAAGTACTTTGCTGAAGCAAGATCACAAAGAAGTAGATAGGGCCTAGTTTGTCAGTTCGTGGAAAACAAGGCAGCTCCAAGGAGAATACTTCTGTTAATACGAATAGAAAACTGATTATGTCTGATTTGTTGACCCAATGTTTTCCCTAATTTATTTATTATGGCAGATTAGTTCTAGTCAAAACATAAACCAGATTAATGCTTGAAATTTATAAAGTAATTGCATTTCCTCTTTTTATTTCTGCAGCTTGTCCTATTTTTAAAATCATTACATTAAGACTTTAGTAGCCGAGTAAAATAATTATTAATATCCCTATTTAATAAAAATTGCACAGACATGCTGTCAACAGTCAACTTTCACAGAAGCTCTTCTGCTAGCTTCTCTCAGTTCTAATGTTTTCACTTTTTTCTTTGATGGAGATAACATATCCATGCAAATTTGAATTGTACACTGACAGCCTTCCTTTGACTTAATGTGATCCAGCATAACTCCAGCAGCCTAATGATTAAGTCCTATATAATGATCATTAATGGCAGTGCTTAAGTGATGGTGTTACTAAGGGACAAACACCAGGACATAAGCATGCTGCTGAGCAGCTCTTTGGACCAACTTGAAAGTGATTATTAAAGAAGTAAAATGAAAATAATTTAGTAAGATGTTACAAAAACATAGGCTGTACCTCTACTTATTTTGTTTAAAAAAAATATTGGTTTTGTTTACCTTATTGCTGTATCCTTGCTTTTTATGTTTTGCTCCTACAGAATAGAGTACAGGAATCAGATCTGGAGGACAGTCCGCAAAATATTCTGTGCAGGTAACAGGTGACTCATGAATGTCAATAGGATATGGATTTTCAAAGATTGGAAAACTAGTTAGGGAAGACAATTTATTAGAGGCACTGTGACACACTGAGCCATAAAAGAAAACATAGTCTTATATTAAGTGCATAACAGAATCTAAGTCAAGTCATTACTAATAAAGTACATTTTCCCTTATTTATTCAAACATATGTATTGTTTTTAACATCAATAATAATGTGTAGTTACTCAAATAAAGATATAAAAATTCCACTGCTGTGACAAGAATCCTCTTGTAACATAAATACCCATCATGTGACTAGTTCCTACGGCTAACAGAACGACTTGTGCGAAGGAGGATTAGGACCTAATTTTCCCCAACATCTCAAAGTCTTATATATACAGAAGTGACACATTTTCTAAAATCTTCAGGTTCATGGGTATGGTACATACTATCATCTAAGCACTACTTGTGCAACTGTGGATTTTATATTGAGCAGCTTAGCTTATTGGGTTGGTAGACTACTGATTCTACAACGAACAATTGCAATAACAGATGAAGTAGATCTCAGTTTATTTCTCACTTCCATCACTTTGGATGGTCTGATAAGAAGGAAGGGCTCACTTCTGGCAGATTACATGACGTTATTCACAATTCAGAAATGGGGGAACTTTGGTTCTGATTTCAATTACATTCATTTTATATTGCTGAGATGGTTTGAATTGTTCTTGAAAGTAAGTGAGATCAGAATATGACTCACTTAAAATGTTTCAAGACATTAGGGACAAAATCTGTTCCTAGTTATACCAGGGTGAATGTGGTTATATACTACTGGTACTGCTGAAGAGGCAGAACAAAGTAAGTAAGAATTGGATTCTGCATTACATGATGTATAGTTCCTCTTTGATACGAACATGCATTCTGATGTGAAAGAACTATCTGTCATTTAAACCAGCAACTGGATCTTGAAATAATCCTGTAGACACACTATAAATCAATGACATTATTTATTGAGATACTTAAGTAAATAATTAAGTGGTAGTCTCTGTGAAGTCTAGTGATGTTAGGCATGTATATAAGTAGTAGTTGGATCTGGTTTCCAAAACACACATTCAGGTCATAATTTGGCTTGTGACTAAGTATTATTTAACTTCAATGTTGAGTGAATGTTTGAAGGCTATGCTGAAGGGACCACAGATTTAGATTTATTCTCAAACTTTAGAACAAATATTATCATAAGTGCCTGTTGATTAGCTGATCTTAGCTCTTAAGGTGTAGGTAAACATAGAGTGAATTATTAACGACGAGTGAATAATTTTGGATAGTAAAATGACATTTAGATTTTTATCATCATTTGCTAGACAGTTAAGATATACAAATAACTTCATATAAGACTTCATACGTACTTGCTTTGTGTCAGGTCAACAACAATAAGATCTTTTTCCAAAAGCACAACCACAGCATAAGGTTCTTGAAATTCTGTAAAGCAAGAAATCAAGTATAAAAGACATGGAGTTCTCCTACTAGTCATTATAAACAAGAAAGTCACATTTATGTCCTCTAAACATTCACAGTGTATTAAACAAAAGTTTTGAGGTACAAATCTTAGACATGACCACAAATTAGACACATCTGCAAACTAGGGCCAGACAGGAACTAAGAAATTACTTTTGGCCAGTATTGCTGATCAACATACATAGCAGAAATAGCATTGGCATATTATAGCATGCCAGCATGATGGTATATTGAAAGTAAAGAAATAGAATATGAACAAGTTGTGTGTATTAGTGCATTGTTGAATCCAATTATTATACAGAAAATGTATTTTTGCTGCCCAATAGTAACACTTCCACTGTGTACAACTTCTTCAAAACCAGATTGTGAACAGCTGGCGCAGTCTGCTTGATGATACACAATGCCCTCATCTCCAACGTGATTCCAACAGAATATTCCAAAGAAATCCTGTAAGTCTGCTGTGTTCAATTCAGATACTGACATGCTCCTTCCTCCTGTACACTCTTTAGGAAATTGTATAATTCATTTTTTTATTTAATGTCTTTTTCCGTTATAAAAAATAAACAATTAAAAAGACAAATAAATGCTTCCCTTAATGCATAGGGTGCATTAGTTTACATAGCATAAAAGTTATTTTAAAAAGTATAAATGTTAAATTTCCACTCTCTTTTCAACAGCAGAAAACCATTCCAGGATGTACAAGCTCAGAGTACACTCTTCAGATGGCTGATGCCAAAAGGCTGAGTAAATCGACAGCAACTGATTTACCTTCCTTTCAGGCCAGCTACAAATGCAAATTATTTGTGGCCTGTTTTTATACAAGGCTATGAATAACAGGGGTTCAACCAAAATTTTTAAATATTAGCGTTGTGAGCAGGGAAGGGCCTACAAAATCTTAGTACTGGGAAGTGTCGCTGTATTTGCCACAGTTAAATGAAGGCCCAAACTAACTTTGATTACTGAAAATTAAATTTTTGCATGACATTGAAACAAATATACGCTTTACCTTTACAGAGTGTTTTTAATATATATTTGATTTAGCTACATATATGATTTATTTTACTTTTCTGCTTGAGGGCTTAAAATGCTAAAATTAGTTTCTTTTTGAATTAGAGCTTGTCTTCATTTACTTTCTGGGTTTTCTGTGAATGTACTTCAGAATTTGGCAGACACACAATATGCAGCAAAACACTTTTAACAGTTCGATTCAGGCTGAAGTGTAAGAACTTCTTTGCAGAAAAGTGATAGTTTAATCTTCAATAATTTAGCAATTTGTAGATTTTCAGCCTTATGAAAAATGTTAGAAATATAGGCACATCTTTTTGATTAATAGCAATATTTCGTCATGCTAACCAATGTGTTTCAAGCTTATATCTGGAGATCTATGCATGCTCTATTGTCCAGTCATTACTTGCTTCCTGTATCGAGAATGCAAACAAGTTCCAGTTACTGTCAGTGACGTGGTTTTCTTGAGATGGAGGTAACTGTGAGAATGGAAGTCCCTGAAATGGAATTAAGGTATGAGAGAAGATCACCTAATCTTCGTTTTCCATAACTGTGTTTTGCGTAATAAACTCACCATTTGGATATGGGGTTTCACAGAGAGTTAAAAAATCAACTATAGGGTGATCCATTTCAAGAACTGTAATTGCTTTCCCATGCATGATTGTTAAACTTGGTCTTCGACAAGCCTTATCATATGACAATCCACCAGAAAATATCACAAATGGTTCACTGTATTAAAAAAACCAACATAGTAATTATAAGTTTACATAGTACATAAGTTTACATTATAGGTTTAGTACCTTTAAATAATAATAAATAGGTTTGCAAAAAGAAAGGGGGAAAGATTCTAAAAGGACTTTAACTCAGGAATGTAATATTGAGTTAATTACAGAATTAAAAACATACCTGTTTTTACAGGTCTTGTACTCTACTTTAAGAATGGGTTTACAAGATTCAGGTTTTTTTCCATCTCTCTGAATTTTTCCTAAGGACAGAAAAAAGATGAAAACTTTATTAAAACATCATGATAATAGAACTATCAAACCGAAACATACACATAGAAGCAACTTACATATAAGCAGTAAGAGAATGGAACTTTACAGCTACAGAAGATGATGAGTGTTAGCTCCTATTTCCACAAAATATGCATTTGTCTAACTTAATTATATTTATTATGGCTTTATGTTTTTACTGCCATGTACATCTAAAGGACCATAGACCACATTTCAAAGACATCTAAAAACCATGCAAGTTACTAAGAAGGATGACACTTAAGTAATAATTAATGAATTTGACCAAATGTATACCTTTTTTCTGAACATATTATGACCATAAACAGCTTTATTTTTTCCTAGGTAATTCTTAGATTCAATTCCTTTTGTTGACAAAATGTTACATGCTCTGGAGTGTAACTATTTGAGTGCTAAAATTGAATGAATTGTACAACTGAAATTCATGAGTTCTTGGTTAATTACGGCTCAATACTTCCTTCCAGTCAGAGAAAAGTCACTTGTAAACCAAAAAAACCCAACAATTTTGCTTTTGTTAGTTTAGAAAGCCTATGCTTGCTTTTGACAAAAAACCTGATGGGATGATACAATGCAGATGGAACCAGGCTGTTCTCAGAGGTGCACAGAGACATGACGGGATGCAAAGAACTCAAGTTGTGGCATAGGAAATTCTGGTTAGATATCAGTAAAAAAATTTGTACCATGAGTGTTATTAAATACTGGAAGACATCACCCAGTGAGGTTGTGAAATTTGTCATTGGAAGTGTTCAAGTGTCCGGTTGACATGGACACAGCCCTGAGCTAACTCTGATCTAAGCAGGCCCTTTTTTGAGCTGGGGGTTAGACTAGATGACCTCTGAGATGTCCCTTCTGACATAAAGTACAATTCTATAAGTAAAAATGATACGACAAAAGGAATTAGGAAATTTAAGAAAATGCTAAATCTTTTCTGGGCTACACAGACCTTGCCTTCCCCTTCTTCCTCCTTCTCCATCCAGTCAGGCTTCTTGGTAATGTATTGATTTGCAGTTGAATTAATACCTTCTTACCTCATTTATAGGAAGCAATGGCATATAAAGTTCTAGCCATAAAAGGTACAGCCATTTCTTAATATGGCTCATTTAAATTCTTCATTGCAGTGACTTGGGAAGCCTTGTACCATCTCCATAACAAGCAACACAGTGCCTTCTGCAAAATGTATTACTTCTTGTGAAAATTGCACATATGATCATGTAAGTACAAAATATAAAATAAAGAAATGTGAAAATCCCATAGCCCGAGGCCATCAAAGACCAGCAGCAGACTATTAAGATGAACTGGATAAAAGAAGACATTAGAGCAATATTACTGAGTAAGACATATTTATGACACCAGTTTAAAAAGAAAAGGATCAGAATTGCTCTCTGATTTTTATAGCTGATTTTGCAGCTACTTTGCAGATTAAAACATTTATAAAAGATGCAACTCTGGGCCTGGGCTACAATAAAAAATGAAATAAATGTATATATTTGCTAACAGCATGGAGAATATTGTATTGCTTCTTAGGTATTTTAACTATCAAAATTACCATGTGGAATTGTGGTCTGGAATGGTCTGTTAGGACTTTTCAGATTCCATAGGGTCAAGCTGCCATCAGAGTGACTGCACATGAACTGTTTCCCTTCGTGATGCCAAGCAACAGAATGAATAGCCTACAGAAACGAAAGAAGAACTTGAGACTGAAACAGAACACAGTGTTTACATTAATGATATTTTAATGTATGACTTTGGATTATAGTAATCAAATGGTATATCAACAGTTGGATGGTTCTTGTTCATCTAAAGTCCATTACCAGCACTTTTTGGTAACCAGTGGCTGTAATCTGCTGCTAGTCAAGCAAAACAATTCATTATAAATGTTAACGTAACACAAAAATGTAAGAAAGCCGGTACTGAATAAAACCAAAATTGAAGTAACAGGGTAATAAGGTAAAAGTAGAAGAACAAGGGACATACAGTGCAATCGCAGTATGTCTGATAGCTCTCCTTAGAAGTATCTCATCTGGCAAATACAACACAGGGAACTCTGTGTGACAAGTTTTACAGGTAACATACAACACACGTAGTCTTCCCCAGAGGACTATCTAGGAAAAGTAGAAATAGTACTCTGTTCTTGAATAATTTTTCCTCCCACATATTTAAGTTTCAGAGCAAATACACAGAAATCTGAGATGCTTAATACAAAAACAAAACCACTAAGGAGACCAGGGTTGTTTCATTGATATAGGGAATTAACCAAACAATGATGTAAGATATTCTTGGAACAGATAATGCTTCAGATAAGAGGAATATCACACTCCTATGTACACAATCCAAATACCACATGACAAATGTTGTGTATGCCAAAAAGCAACACTTCAAAAATTAAGACTGTTCTTAGTATTTTGTACATAATTAGTGGAACTGACTGAAAATATCCATAATTACATCAAACGAGCTGAAAGGATTATGGTGTAAGTCAGTCCTTCATTTTCACTGGTATGTGCTGGATAACTAACAAAAGCCATTTTCTGACAAAACAAAGTATTTCTTCATTGTATATCACAGTTTCTCACACACTCCCCTCATAAGAACAAACTCACAGAATCTTCCCTTGAATCCATTTCCCTTCCAGAAATATTAGCTGCCAAATAGCAAAAAACACAACATGTTTTTATGTAGATGTAAATAAAGAGGGACCTATTTTTGAATGCATTTTAATAAATTTCAATTTTTGCAACCCAGGAAATGCTAAGGCATTTATGTATGTACTTAGAGTTGCATATGGCCATTTACCTGATTTATCCAAATAACTTTAAAATCATGCCTGGGTATTCATAAGTCAGCATTGGAGTTGTTCATATCAATTTTGCTTAAGCTGACAAGAAATAAGCCTAAGTGCTACAGGTCACTACTCAAAACTCCCTGCTGGTCTTCCTCTTTTAATAAGTATATTGACTGTTACGGTTTTTACAAAAATGTTTTACAAAAAATGTTTTTACAAATATATTAAC